AATTTGTTCACTTTCTTTTCTGATTTAGTTTGCACTCATTGAGTTTTATCTTCCCCTTTAGATTCAATTTCTTTTCTTTTCTTTTATTGTTGTTCCACAGTCCTTTCATTGTTATTGATTATTTGTACATACTTGATTTTACACCTTCTTCATCACTTTTCAAATAGATATGACGAAAATTATTACTCCATCTCATGTGGAGATTACTTTCTGCGAAATAATTCCCCTGTTTTCTAACTTAACACATGTAATTCTTTTGACAACTGGAAAATCTTCCTGTTAATCTACACTTTGTAAAGTTGTATCATCCTTAAGGTTTTTCTCCTTCTTCTTCTTCTTCTTCTTCTTCTTCTTCTTCTTCCTTTTCTTCCCACTTTGCACTTTACACTTAGGTGGATTATCCTGGCAAGTTCAGGTAAGCTTCTACCTAGGAGATAATGACCAAGGAAAACTGCATTTTTCATTAACAAAAAAATTTGGCACAAATATTATTTCTTTTAAACATTGTTTCTTACTATATATGAAAAACGTTTTTTTGATAAAGACTATATATGAAGAACTTTAAGAAACAATCAATCGTCCTACTAACCATAGAGTTTTTAATTTTACACACCAGCTGGTATCAAGATGTGTCTGCTACTGTACATATGCTACTGACTGTGAATGACATCTGCTGGACATGTTATTTTGCTAAAAGTATTTGGAAGTATTATAGTAGCCCTGCAGAACTCTTTTATATAACCTTTTGTCAATATGATTATTTTAGTGTTCAGCTACGTCTATAATACAAAATACTGTTGAGCTAATTGTGACACTTGCAGCTAGTGTGCTTCATGATATACAGGTGTTTTCATCACAAATCGATTCCTAAAGTTATGTCAATGGCTAATTTATTTTACTGTTATTATAGTTTCTTTGATTGCTTACTATATTCTTCTTGTTATATGGTTTCTGCATATTATGACATCTTGATCATTAACAACCTTTCCTATGTGTTGGATTCACTTTCACTTAATGGTAAGTGAATGTGTTCTACACTGCAAAACAATTGTCTCTGATTGTTACATCAGATAGCCATATTTTCTTCTGTTCTTATCATTCTATAGTTGGAACAATACAAGTTACTTGACTAATCCTTGTTTTCCTAAAATCTGGTAATAACTGTTGGGTTCATTTACGCACAGTAGACAGCTGGACTGCCTAATGTCAGCGAAGCCCAGGAAGATCAACAAACCATTCGGATCTTCATGCTAACATAAAAGAACAAATAATAGTTCAGTCCTTTTCACAAGGAGATATCTCTATCTACCTTTTTCCAGTTTTGCCCGATGGTATTACCAGAAAATTATATGCGAGCAATTTCACTTGATATGCAATTCATATTCCTTGGTATAAATTGTGTTTATGTAAGATGGTATTTTTTACTTTTGAGTAGAGACAAAAAAACAGTAAAATCTGGAGTTATTTTCGATGTGCCTTCTGTTTTTTAAACTTTTCATCATGTAAATATAGTTATTATAGGTGGTTTTGGACAAGCACATGATGATAATTCTGCTTCTGGGTAAACAATGAGCTATGACATATTTTAAAGTTCTTTCCCATGGTATTCAATTCAGCTCGCTTTCTCTTCTATATCTTTCTTTGATTTGCTCTACTTCTTCGACTTTCTTGCTGCCATGATTTGCTTTAATAACTTTTGGACTGCCTTTTGATTCATACTATATCGATTTCATATTTGCCTTTTTGGTTTTCTAATGTGTTTCATTTTTGTTATTACGAATTGACTTTTACAATTTCGGTCATTAACTGTTTGTTCTTGGAAAAAGCTACAGTAGTTAATAGATTTTTCTCTCATAATCTTAATGTTTCGAACTTTACTAGAGGTTATATATCATCACACAGATGAAAATAGAACGAAGTTCATAGATACTCAAAAGATAGATATAGTAATGAAATTCTACAGTTTAAATTCTCAGGCCATAATGCGAATTCTGCTTTTGAAAAGATTAATGTGTTAAAAATTCTCAGCCCTCAATCTACAGTGACTTTGCTTGCCATTTGGCATTTGAAGATGTTTCATTGTAAGGTACTCCGGACCTTAAGTTTATTTATATTATATACATAAATGAATGACTAACCATTTATGTAGTACAAATGTGACAACCCTTCGGCCTATTCATGGAGGTACATATATAGATCTTATACAATATTTGGGACCTTCATGTACCATACAAGTTGTCTAGCTCTGTTTCTGCTGTTCTAAAAGGATAATGTGTTTTATTTTTGAGCCTTAGGTTTTCCTTGGTAGCCTTCACTTCTGTAAGATGAATATTTTTATTTTTAGTTCTTCGTACAAAAGAGTTGAGCGGTTTAATTTTGATTAAAAATATTGTTCAGCTTGCATGACCTTCTAATGAGAATCCTTCAACTGTTGAACATGACTAAGGACTGTGCATTATAAAAATAGTGCTTAAAGCCTGATATGCATATATGATTATACAGAAATTTCTATATATTTGAGCTGCTTCTCCGTGGGCCTCAAAATGTACGTCCACCACATAAATTAACATTTGAAAAACTACAATAGGATAATAGTATGCTAAAATTTGTGTCTACAGAACTCCAAAGTTAGGATGTTGCATAGATCATACAGTTTTTATATTACTTCTTTTTGGTTTTATCATAACCAACTAACCGAAAGCACCAAACCTTCATGTCCATCGCTTGAAATCTCTATGAAGCATGATGATTGACATGACTTCGTATGCATTGCTGATATTTAGCTTCTTATCTAAGAATATATATTATATAAATGTTAATCTTTAATATTGAAGCAAGGACATGATTATTAAACCAGATTAAAATGAGAATGGGACATTATTAGATAGTTACTGTCTCTTTTTCTCTCCAAACATGCTTCCATTATGCGACATTATTTGATAGCTACTGTATGCTTTTCTCTATAAACTTGTTGTCATTCTCATATATTTCTTCTCCTCTAGGTACAAAGTTGCTTTTCAATGTTTCGTCTAGCCAGGCTTCTTTCTGGGTTACTTGATGGAGAAATTTATCAACTAAGCTACCTAGAAAAAAAATTATCTTTGTTTTGCTCTTTTTTTGACTGTTGCTTTACCCTTTGTTTGACGTGGATTTTTTATAGTCGCGTGACCACTTTTCAGTATCATAGGTTTCCCGTTTGTAAGGACTGAATGTATTCTCGCTCTCTTCATGATGCAGGAAGCCCCTCTGAAAAGCTTATGACGTAACCTTCAAGGACAGTCTGACGGTAGATATACTTTAAAGGTAACACATTCTTTGAATCGTCAAACTTACAACCATAGATTGGACGAAGACCGCAACTTGTACGCAGAAAATTGATGAACACCACAAAGTCTTATATTAGATTGAGGTAACAAATATCACATAAATTTGAATGTGTCTACATATATCATTTTGTGAGACATCTTTGTGAATGTAACCTGAATAAGGGAAAATTGTCGCTGCTCGAATTTTCGATGCTGAAAATATTTGTTATTCCAGTTCTTTCTTTTGTTAAGTCATAGAAATTATGTCAAATAAGTTTATATCCCAGGTAACTTATTGTTGTTTAAGGGGTTCAATGTGTTTTTCGTGTAAACAATCATAACTCCAATTGTCAGTACAATAGGATTTTCTGTGGAAAAATGATTTACATTATCTCTGATGTCTAGATATGTTAGTTGGTTGTGTCCTACTGTTATTTCCTTTTTTGTTACTGCTACCACAGTTTTCTCATTTATATTCTTCTGATGTATTTTAGCTGATTCAGTATTATTTTCGTGGTTCATTATTAAGCTACATTACAAGGATAAACCATGTGAAAAGCAATTGTTCACTTCTTTACCCGAGGAAATAGTTGTCATGGAAGTCCTATATATTTTTAGAGTCATTCAATGTCTTTTCTTACTATTGTTGCAAATTCATCTTTGCTGCAGTTGACCCAGAACCTGTGTGAAGGTTTGGCTTGCGAACGAACTAGCTCTTCCAGCATCGAGTGTTGTTAACCGTGGAATCAACGTCCATCAACAAATAAAAGCTCCCACTGAAGGGAAAATGTCGACTTTGTACGCTTCAGATTATCTTCGCTTCATTATGTTTGTTTTCCTTTATCGGAAAAATCATGACATATCAGTTTATTACCTAAAATATTCATCTAGCTCAACATACTTGCTTGCTTTCACAAGGTTATTGTTGTCCTTTCTGTTATTTCAAGCCGCATTTTGTACTAAACATGGGGGCCACAATTAGTGAACTCCATATTACGCTACTCTATAAAACTAAATAGGAGACTTTAATAAAATAAAATTATTATAACTTATTTTAACTGGATTATATGGATACAATATTATATCTATTGTCTTCGTTAAAAGTAGGTTAACTTGTTATTAACTTTACTCAAAAAAATTTAGTTGAGAACCCGTCAAAAGTAAATTAAATTTGCTAACGTTTAAACAATTTAACTTATAAAAGTACCATTGATCTACTATTCTGACGGGAAAAAATTCAAACATGACAAAAGTTAAGAAGAAAAAACCTGTCAAACTGTTTCATTTTAAGAATCTAAAGAAAACTTTCTAATTTTCGGCAGCGCTTTCATAGTAAAATCACAAACAATTTGGAAAACATTACAAAATTATTTTTGTGCCCTTAGAAAGTTCATGAAAAAGAATTCAATACTTTTTTTGTGAATGACTTCTTTCCAAATGTAATAAAAATACATTGGGGTGAAGAATAAATAAAATCAAGTACCAATTATTGTAGTTGTTTTAATTGAATTGTAGTTGAAAACATGTAATTCAAATAGCAAAAAAAATTAATTATCATTACGCGCTCTCTGTTAGTTCGGTTACATATCCATTTATAAAATATCAATAAATATATTTGGTTTACATGTTCAAACCATCATATTTACTGCTCATATTTATTTTTGTTGTGATATTAAAAAAAATAACTATTTTTACATTGACTGCAAAATAAAACGCAAGTAGTAAAATCAAGGGGTTGAATTGATATAAATATTAAAAAAGAAGACATATTATCTACCTCGAGATTTGAAAAATTATTTCATGTCGTGCTTATTAATTAATATCTACTAATATATAATTTTATTTGAAAAATATATATTTTTGAGTTGTTTCTACATTATTCAAATAACCCAAATCACAACTTGAAAAATAATATGCAACTCAATGCTTGGACCCATGCGCAATAAAAGGAAACAATTTGACTAGCCAAAAGAAAATGTTTCGGTAGTTCCTTCATAAATATTTTACTGCCTTCACTATACCGTTCTGTTTTCACTGTGTTATGTAACCAGCTTTTGATTTGCATCAATAGTTACCTATATATATATATATATATATA